AGCCCGAGGCAGAGTTGCTCTGCCCCAGGCTTCCTGGAATCAGCCGCTGATCAGTTTCAGCAGCAGCTGACTTGGGAAGGCCTGGGTTTCTTAAGTTGAATCTGTATGTAAGTCAGAACTGGCGTCCAGATTCAGCCGCGGTTGAAACTGATCAGTTTCAGCAGCGGCTGACACCAGTTCCGACTTACATACAGTTCCTATCTTGTACGTAACCCGGGGACTGCCTGTATCTTAAAAATAGTCTCCTGGGTGGACATCTCCAGCTTCCTCAATGCAGATATTATGATTAGCAACCAAATCTGCAGGAAAAAACTTGGAAATTTGGGGCACTGTAAGAAACCAGAATTTAATATCAAACAAACAACACAAGGGAGTATGTGACAGGTTTAGTCTTGTTCATGTGCAATTCCTGCTAGTCCTCAAATTCTCAGGCTACATCTAGACTGCACATTCTTTCGGAAGAAGCTTTTCCAGAAGAGATCTTCCAAAAAATCTTCTTCCAAAAGAGCATGTCCACACTGCCAAAGCGCATCGAAAAAATGATCTGCTTTTTTGAAAGATAGCATCCACACTGAATGGACGCTATCTCACATTTAAGCTGTGATTACTATGGACGGAGTGGCCACCAGGGCACCTATGTTTTTTCCTCTTCTTTCGAAAGAACTCCCTCTTCCCCATCCACACACGACTTTTCCAAAAGAGATCTTTTGGAAAAAGGCTTCTTCTTTGTAGAAAGAGATTTACCAATGTCAGAACCCCCCTTCTGTTTTTTCAATCTTTTTTCAAAAGAACACGATTGCAGTGTGGACGTAAGTGACTTTTTTCCGAAAAATGGCCATTTTTCCAAAAATACTTTGTAGTGTACAATCATAGAACATAGAATCATAGAACCATAGAGCTGGAAGAAACCTCAGCAGGTCATCGAGTCCAGCCCCCTGCTCTGTAATGAAGGCTCAACTTTTGTAGACATAGCCTCAGTTTATTTGAAGTTGTTGCAGTGTTTCCATCTTGCTGCAGAATTAAGCTCCTGAATGCTGTATGGATCAGGGTACAGGAGTATAGAATTAAGGCCAATCTTGCCACACAGAGTGTGTGGGAATTTTATTATATGACTGCATGGTGTTTTTCTTGTTTCTGTAATGTTATGCAAGTGAAGAAGCCTGGAAAAGTACATCCTACTTTAAGTAAAAAAGGTTAATATGAATCAATTCAGCTAGGGTGCATCTACAAAGCAGAGTTTAACTTGAAAAAAGCTAGGCAAATTGAGCATAGCTTATTTCAACATTGGGAGTACAGTATCTACACAGCACTTATTTTGAAATAGAGCATTCTTACTCCTCATACAATGAGGGTTACAGGAGTCGGAGTAAGTAGTCCTCTAGCTTGACAGTATTTAGACATTATTTTGAAATAACTGCCTGCTGTGTAGATGTGGACTAAGTAATTTCAAAATAATGCTAATTATTTTGAAATAATGTTGCTGTGTAGGCGTACTCCTGGAAAGTAATACATTTGTTAACATCAAATCTTTGAGAAGGTTACAATCTCCTTAAAGGAGGTGCACTTTGCCAGCTCTTTTAGGAACTGCAGAGGGAGAAGTTGTGCCTAGAAAAGAGCCAAGAGGAAGCTTACACAAGCTGATAAATGTGCCATCCTTAACAACTAGCAAAACCAAGGACAGGAAGTAGAATACACAAAGTGGCAATAAAAAGGGAGATAGCTTGCTTTAAGTCCCTGCCCTACCTGACTAGAACAAAGTGAGCAAAGAAATCCTGTTTGCAACTTACACGACAGTATTTTCCCCATGATCCAGATGTCTCTATCAAGTTGTTCTCTGACAAGCTGTAAATTGTCAATGGTTCATTCCTTAGCTCAGAGGACCTACCAAGACAGAAGTACTGAGGCATGCATACTAGTTATGTGATCTGGGATTGCTACATTGGATTATCTAGTTAATAAAGGGAGACGTGTCAGAGCATCTGCAGTGTTGCATTGATTGTGTGTATTCAAAATAGAGCACGTCTGTGGCAGTGTCAGAAACAAAACTGCTTTTATTGCTGCCTGAGTGGAAGTAAGTGTACAAGCTGCTGCTGGAACAATAAAGAAGAACCCTGTCATCCCAGCCATCAAGCAAGTGCTTATTTCTGACAGAAATCTGGAAAGGAGGCTTGCAACGTTTTAACATTGTCTGTCGTAGTGGGGTTTTCTGAAACCAGATGCTCCAGCAGCCTCACCATAGTTACATATGGCAGGAGAGATTGGGAGAATCAGGGATGATTCTGAACTCACTTCATCGTAAATCAGAGATGTCACATCAGTGCTGTTACACAGGGGCAAATGAGGGCAGAGGTGGGGCTAGGTTGTATAATTCCTTCCAATGAGCTCATAACAGACTAAAGATTAGCAAAATAAATGAACATTTTAGAGCTGTTGCAACCCTGAGAATAAAAAACCGGAAGGGAAAAGGCAGAAATCACAAAAGATTTGAAATACCTGAAAGAAATGAGTTTTGCGGAGGAATGTGGGGAAACACGTACATGCAGAGAAGCCTTTGGAGCTTTCAGTAGTGCAGCTCTGGATCTAGAGTCACAATGGTGCTCCTGAATCTCCCTTCCCCCCACTCTGTCCAAATACAGGTAGGGCAAAGTGGAGAATCAAAGCCCTGGTCTTAAAATCCAGTTTAAAAATGGTGGAAGTCATGAAGTAAAGGCGTGTTTCAAACATTCACGGATCTGAGTAAATTCATCCAAAAACTTCCCGCAGACAAGCTCTCCGCCTCAAAATCTGGGTTGGAAAATAGTGTT